AGTTCTTACACAAGAACTAAAACTGATTCCATGCTCTAAGTTCCCTTCTCTGCTTTCTCTTTGTGAAAAACTATGGGGTCTCTTCTTAGAGATACTGTCACGATTAAAAAAAGATCCTCCAAGCTGAAAAAATGTCTTTTTAACTGCAATGCACGTGTTCAGATCTGTGCTGCATAAGGGCACCCACAGCATTCACTGTGCACATTTTACATTGAAAAAGAATGAAAAAGCAGAAGAGGAAAAGATCATGGTATTACTATGCACTTTCTTCATTCTAAAGTCACAAACCATGGTCTTAAAGCTTTCAGTCTGGTAGAAGCCTTTCCTAGGACAACAGTGACTGTGTTAAGGGGATCAACTAACTGGAACTCCTCCTCCTCTTACTTGTTTAGAGTCTCAGAAGGTTGCAAGCTCTGCTCCATTACATTTCATTCCCTCCCCTACCAGATTTTTGATGAGGACAAAGGAACCTCAGGCTTTGAAAAGCAAACACTTCCAAGGCCCATGTTCCTTACTACATAACATAGCATCTCTGTTCCATCCAGAAGGGCATCACAGCTGCTGAACATTAGCAAACCTGCCCTCCGTGAGCCTTCAGCAGCTTGTTCCAGCTTCTGCACATCTCTTTTTCCCTTGCCAGCACAACTCTTGAGTGAATAACCAGGGATGGATGTGTGGCATTGCTTCCTTCAGGTCCTGTGATGGGCTGGCACGTTGGTGACCGGCACCCTGTGTGGGGGCCTTGACAATGGCCTTCACAATCTGAATGCATCTGCATCCCCTCACAGTCTTTCCAGAACTTGCAGAGACTAATGTGACTGCAAATTTTCCTAATATAGCTACAACCCCAAGACCCTGCAACACTAGCTTATAACTACAGAATGGCTTGGGTTGGAAGGGACTCCAAAGATCACATAGTTTCAATCCCCTGCCATGGGCAGGGCTGCCAACCACTAATTCAGGCACCATCTCAGGCTACACAGAGCCTCATCCAACCTGTCCTTGAACATCTCCATCAGGAAGGGGTAGTCACACCTTCTCTTTTCTACTGCTAAACAGAGCAAATCTGTGTTTTCAGACTGTTGGCTCAATGGCTTTTCAAAAGGAAGGAACAGCAGGTGCCAGATGCCATGTGGAGCAGGTGATCTGCTGATACCTGCACAGGATGCTGAGTGCTGGTGTGGGAGGAGAGCTCCAAACACCAGCCCCATCCATGCACATGTGAAAAAGCTGGTACACAGAGATCAGGAAAGGTAAAAGAGGCACTGAGTTATGACAGCAACATGCAGTAAACAAAATCTGCAGCTGTGCCAACACTGATAAACGCATTCTAATGGGAGAAGCCCTGCTGGACCTTGTAGGAATAACTTGAGATGCTCTTGTACAAAATTTACCTTGTAAGCAAGTTTCTTACGCTTTAATGTTACCACGTTCAGCCTTGAAATATAAAATCAAGCACTAATGGGACTAACAGAGATCTCAACACAGGGAAGAGGCTTATTGCATTCACGGGTCACTAATTTCTGCTGCTGAGGCTGCAAACAGACTGCATGATATTCTGCAGACTTCCCTCCCCCCCATAAGCTTGCTATATACAAGTCAAGCTATGCTGGTGCACCGTGGGATATTTTAAGCTGAGATATCTCTCATCTCCCCTGCCTGATCAAGAGCATTAAATGTGATGGTTTGGATGAAAAGGTAATTGCTGCAGCAAACATTCCTAATTTCCAAAGAGTTGAGCTGGGAGGTTTAGTGAGATTTTGAATCACTGAAGAGGTGATCCAAAACCAACAAGACAAGGTTCCCAGCAGGACACAGAGAAAGGAGAAATGCACAATTATAAAGCTGCATAAATCTGGTGGAGTAATCGTACCAAAAGAAAGGATTCATAGTGTGTGCTTCAGGAGACACAGAGCCAAAGGGGAGGTGACCTGGGCAGGGCAGTAACAGTCCCAAGCAGGAAAGCTACCAGGCTGAACACTGTTCCAGTTTCTGCTGTGAAAAGGTTATCATAGAGAGGATTGCATCTGCAGACATCATTTAGGTCAGATATTATGGGAAAAATACTGTCTACTCGTATGAGAGATAAGTACTGGAATGGTTTATGTAGAAATGCTTTATTGCAGATTTAAAGTAAAGTGTAATCAGCTAATGAACAGGATTATGATGAGGTTTCCTGTGGCAGCAGGGCAAAACTGAGCAGCTTGGAAATTCTCCCCAGTTCTAGCTCCAAGAGGGTAGATTTAGGTTAGATATAAGGAAAAAGTCTACCGTGAGGGTGGTGAGGCACTGGGTCAGGTTGCCCAGAGATATGGTTGATGCCCCATCCCTGGAGACTTTGAAAGCAAGGCTGGATCAGGACCTGGGCAACCTGATTGAGCTGTGGTCCTGTTCATTGCAGGGGAGTTGGACTAGATGGTCTTCAGAGGTCCCTTCCAACTCTAAGGATTCTATGACCCTATGATTCTTCGTTGTGCACTTCCTAAAACAACTGTGAGAAACATCAGGATGTAAGGTTTGTGTGGAGACCGTTTTCTTTTAAAAACCTTCTGGTGCAAATAAGATTGGGTGAGAATTGCCTTCACTGGCAATCAGTGCAGCATAGGGGAACTAACATGCAAAGAGCTAGAAATTCAAACTTCTCTTAATAATTCCTGAGCTCCACAAATCTGCAGGTCCCAATGATTTCAGCAAGAGGTGTTGGCATGCTACCCCAAGCTAAGCTTCTTGCAGGCAAGCTCCTGATGTACATAATGCACTCCAGGAGAAAAGATATTTGCTGTAAGACAATAAGACACAGCTACAAAATAAGCACGCACGAATGCTTCTCGTTTTAATCTCATCCCTTTGCACGATATAATAGCTCTTTGCTTTTTGGAACCAAACCTCTAGTTTGCTAACAAAAAAATATGTTTGATTAAAACCAAACCTGACGCTAGGCTGAAATTGACTCGCAGCAGGAACTCCTTGCCATAGGAAATTCAGTGTGCTAAGGGTGTGATAGTTTGCCCTTTACTGCAGAAGACACGGCTGCAATCCAGAGCAGCTCCAAGCCCAAATTCAGCAGTAAAACTCTCAAACTGTGAGAACAGATGTTCTTACCGCACTGGTGAAATAACGTGGGTTGAAAACATGATAAAAAAAGTGAGTGAGAGAAAGGGGAATTCTCCAATAGCAATGAATGCAGAAGGAGTTGAGCATACAAAGACTTTTCTTCAGGATAACAGCATGGCTTGGATGGAAAAGAAGCAAAATCACAGAATCACAGAACCACAGAATGGCCAGTGTTGGAAGGGACCTCAAGGCTCATGAATCTCCAACCCCCCTGCCACATGCAGGGCCACCAACCTCCACATTTAAAACCAGACCAGGCTGCCCAGGGCTCCATCCAACCAGACCTTGAACACCTCCAGGGACGGGGCATCCACAACCTCTCTGGGCAGCTGTTCCAGCACCTCACCACTCTCATAGGAAAGAATTTCCCCCTGACATCCAACCTAAATCTTTCCTCTCTTGACTTAAAAAAATTTCCCCTTGTCCTGCAGTTGTCTACCCTTTCAAAGAGTTGATTCCCCTCCTGTCTGTAGGCTCCCTTTAGGTACTGAAATGCTGCAATGAGGTCACCCCACAGCCTTCTTTTCTCCAGGCTGAACAAGCCCAGCTCCCTCAGCCTGTCTTCATAAGGGAGGTGCTCCAGCCCCCTGATCATCTTTGTGGCTCTCCTCTGGACCCTCTCCAACAGCTCCCTGTCTTTCTTGTACTGGGGCTCCAAAAGCTCCAAATATTAGTATTTTTTGCAAGATAAAGGCAAACTGGTTGCAGAAATGATGACTCAGTGATCTCTCGAGGTCCCTTCCAACCCTTGTGGTTCTATGGTTCTATCCTTCTCTGAATTAAAATGGCTGTGCATGGAACTGGGAGTCAGAAATTGGCTGCTATGTGTCTTGGTTGGACATCTTATCCATATTATGTTATTCATCACCTGTTTACACAGCCTTCACATCTCCAACATCTGCCTCATGGTCCCCACTGTGACCCCGAGTCATTCAGTAGAACACACCTCAGATTCCCCATATATCCCACTACTTTCAGCTGAAACCACAGTCAAATCCCATGCTTGTGAAAGGCTTTTAAAATAGTACTGCTCCGTTCCTTTACTATGTATATTTCCACATCTCAAGCAAAAGTGTTTATCTGCCAACTGGTACATTTCAAGGATGAAAAAAAAAAAAAGAGCTTGCAAAGAAAACTGAAACTTCCTGCTGAATTTTCAGGATAGACTATAACGTATTTCAGAATGCTAATGAGAGGCTTATCTAAATAATAATCGTTAAGAGCAATTATGCAGAGAAGGCCCTCCAACGCCGTGCACAGCGTTTAATGTTGCATCAATTACTCAGGAACTGTTTGGAGCAGGGAGGAAGGCACTGATCACAGAATCACAGAATCACAG